CCCCAAAACCCCAAAACCCCGTAGAACTAAATCAAAATAGTTAAAATTGTATATTGATGAATAGTATTCAATATTAAAAGAACAATAATCAATCTAACAATAAATTGTTTTGATATTATTTTGTACTTCTAAAACATTAATTATAGCTTTAGTTGATTTGAGATTGCTTGAATCTTATTAAATATCATACTAAAACTTAGTACACTTCTATTTCAGTTACTTTGTAATTATAACTTCCACTTAAATGATTCCTAGCTGATAATTACAAGTAGGTAGCATCTTTTGGAGGCATATATGTACCACCTAAATCACAAACACTCTAACTATTAATATCGCAATCATATGAAATCATAATATCACCATAACCAAAAGCCATTAAATAATTCTTGTCATGCTTAATTCCATAATCAATTTTCTGATATTATTTATGCATAGTGTTCTTTGTCAAGTTAAACAAAAATGAATCATTATCTTTATGAAAAGCTACACTATTAGGAGACATCCAAGAGAGAGATGTGTAACCTCCGAATATTTAATTATGTTGACTTTTAATAAAAGAAATTGTAGGCCCTTTGTTATCACAACTACTGTGAAAGTCTTATGCTTTAAATCCATCTCTTGTTGCTCTATAGAGAAGTATGGTCGGACCAGTAAGCTAAAACAGCCTAGACAAGTTATTTCGATTTAAAATATTGTCGACTAAGCTTCCTAATGCAGAAGGTTATGGCTGTTCTTCCAGCTATTTAGCATGATTTTTTAATTTTTATGTCTCTTGAGTTTACGAATATAGCAAAGCTTAAATTTGTTTTTACATAGATTCTAGCTTCATTTCATTTTCTTTTGTCAATAAAGCAAGTTTCTCATGACTTTCTTTTTGTGTATTTTCTAATTAGAGTTAGAATTCTACTTATTAATCATTTAATTTAGCTTAATTTTCTTAAAGCTAGATATTTAGCATAGCTTAGTGTTATTTAGACTAAGCATCAAGTTTAACTTGATTATCATTAGACAAGGAATCTAAATTTGTTTTATAGTCGAGAGTTAAAGTATCGAATTTATCTTTATTTCGTTTTGAAATAGAATCAAATTTGTCTTAGTAAGTTTTAGCTTAGATTAATAATTGATCTTAGGCTTCCTTCAATTAATTTTGTAGATCAGCAACTTGTTTTTCAAGCTCTATTATCTTAATATCCTCCTAATTCTGTTTTGAATTTAGAATCTGAATAGTTTCATGCTTTTACAGTTCGGAATGTTGAAATTAAATTTGATTGTTCTCAAAATTAAATAGTTTATTCATTTCTAGCGACTGTTCTGAACTCAAATATTTCCTCATCTAAGTCATCATTTTAATAAATTAAGTTGCTCCAAAAATCTTATCTTGATATTATTGAAGATTTTTTAGAAGAACCTGAATCATTTCCAATTCATTTTAGAGAGAAGGGATTATAAGCTAGATATAATCTTCCAAAGTTTTTCTAAAAATACTCTAATGATTCATCTCTCCCTGATTGGAACAAGAGCAATTAGCAGAGCAAATTTTACAAAGCAACTACTTATTAGTTTTGCAATAAGTCTTGATCATTTTCTCTGGATGGTTGTCACAAATAATATTTATAGTATTCAGTTTATCAAGATTATCTATCAATACCAATGCAGGAATCGTTTTAAAATCTTGTATTTTCTTGCAGGAATCATTTTAAGGGCAGGTTACTTGAGTTTGGTCTCATTATAATTGATATTTCATGCATTGATCGCAGATTGTATGGCCGCATGATATTATTATTGGAATTCTCTTACCTAGATTGTAGAAGAGATTGCACCCTTTGCATATGTAGGTGTTTATTGCCTTCATTGACATATCTTTGCTGTGGTTCCACTTATTTAATATACAATAAATTCTTTAATTTAACAATATAATTTGGATCCTAATAAAATTAGAAAATCACGTCATCACTAATAATTTAGAATTGATAAATTTTATTGCACATTTCTTTTCTCATCGTAATTAATCTAACTCATGGGGTTTTGGGGTTTTGGGG